GGTGGTGGAGGGGAGTCCCCATTACCTGTAAAGCGCTTTGAGTGGAGTGTCCAGAAAAGCGCTATATAAGTGTAAGCAATTATTAATTATTATTATTATTATTATTTAGCCTATCGTGGGTTGGAGCGGGGTGTCGGACCCAACCTTGGCAAGCGATGGGCTCAAGGCAGGGTACACCCTGGCTGGGATGCCAGGGCACACGCAGACACAGGCACGCACTCGCACCACGGACACTTTTCCCAGAAGCCAATTAACCAGCCGGTATGTCTGCACTGTCAGAGGAAACCAGGGCACCTGGAGGAAATCCACATAAACCCGGGGAGAACATGCAAACTCCACACAGACAGCACCCCAAGTCTATGTGGAAGCCCCAAAGCCCCCAGTACTGCAAGGCTACCCGCTGCCCAATAACAATACAAATAATTATTCATTTGTTTTGCATGTGATTGACAAGTATTTTGTTTCTGTTCATCCTAAAAACAAACGCCTCACTGGTAGATAATATTATGCTTGGATCATAATAGGTACCATTTCAATAATACCTGTATTCAAAGATGAAGAATGTGATTATCTAAGAAACATTTCAAACAAATGATTGCTCAATACCAGTATACCTCAAGGCTTTGCAGGCCTTGATCCAGACCGATCTTTAGCTGCAGTTTCATCTGGATTTAGGGGACCTTCACCCGATTCGATTCGCAGATTTAACCTCTAAGATGACATCCTCGCATTTCGATGCGAATCTGCCAGAACAAGATCCCAAACGCAGTCAATATCGAAGGCAGTCCGCTTCCGCCAAACAAACAAAAAAAAGAGGACAGATGACAATAACGGGAACGATGCAGCAGTGAACACCGAAGAAAGGCCTGACAATGAGAATAATCCCCCCAAAAAAAATCCTCTCTGTGAATTTCTCAGCAGTCGAGACTAACCACAGTAACATACCATCACTTGGCAACAAGCTCCTACGGACAAAAACCAGTAACCTCAGGAGCCCCGGACATCAGGCTTAACTGACAGGCTCAGCTCAACGTCACGTTCCTCGGTGCCTGAGAAGACACCTTAAAGAGAGGCAAGTGCCTTCCTCCCCAGTCTCTTCAGCCACCTACAAAGACACAGGCTGCTTCATCACAGCCCGGAGTGCCTGTTACTGGGTCACGTACTGTACGGTAATGTTAATGAATGAACTCACCGATATGGCAGCTCCCTGTGGAAGTGACAGGGGAGCAGGGACAAGGCTCACAGATCTCTGTCAGGGCTGCACCGGGCCTCCTGTAGAAACTGTACTTGCATTCTTCACAGCGGGGTCCTTGCGTGTTGTCTTGGCAGTTCACACAAGTGCCTGAAAGAAAAGCAATTCACATTAAAAAAAAAAAAATCAGGTGGATCTGACACACTGGCCGGGCAGCTGTCGAGCAGTGACGATGTCACTGAAAAAGAGTTTAAAGTAAAATGCCAAAAAAAAAAGGGAGAAAATCCTACCTGTCCTAACAGAAGTGTAGGTGACAAAAATCAAATGCACAAAAGTTTTTTTATTATTATTTTTGCTTTATGCACATGGCATGCACCAACCTAGGCTAAAATATTTTGTACCTAGGAGAGAGAAGCCAGATTTGGAATTAATAAGTCATGAAAGAAATAGGTGTGACAATGCATCATTCAAGCGTGATGCTGTTGAACAATTGTCCTGTTTCAGAAAAGCTGTTAAATAAGAGCTCTTTCATGTCCTTAATTTGTGTGTACTGTATGTGTGATTGTGCGTCTAATACAAAAAAAAAGTGTAGCTTTGAAGCACCTGACTGTTCTAAACTCTCCAGATCAAGTGTTTCCCACTGAGTTCTATCACGTGCTCAGTCTCTCTCATTATGTGACTTCAGACATGGAAAAAAAAAGAAAAGAAAGCTTTCAAGCAGCTAGTGACAAGCTCACTTTCAGTGGCTGTTCCTTTGGCATGACAGAGCCTTTAAGATTTCAAGTATCTGTGTCCTCTTTCACTTGAGGTCCAGTGTTCTCAGACCAAGACAAGTGTGTTGTAAATACCGTATTAGGTGCTGATGGAGAAATCATAATCACTTTACAATAAAGTATAAGATTAAATGCAGCTGAAAAAGTAAAGCAGAATTTATATAATAATTTCTTTGCCCAAAGGGTTGTTGGAGTCTGGAACGATTTACTCAGGCATTTGGTTGAAGCAGATACTTTGGTTTCAGTCAAGAGTGGATGAGATCTCTGGATCGATAAACTAACAACTACCAAATGGGCTGGGTAGCCAAAATGGAGTTTGCTGGTTGGAACCTCTCTTATGTGATTGCCTTCTTAAGAAAGTTTCATGTTTTACAGGACATTTGTGAAATGATTTAAAAAGACCTTATGCAATGACTTGAACTTGTTCATCTTTGCACTCCTGCCTTGTGGGCTTTCATTTTAGATATCTCATTGTTATTGGACTGTCTTTTTGCCTCAGGAGGCCAAGACCTCATTTAGTAGTGAAACTGCAGTAATAACAGCTCTTACTTTAACAGGCACAGGACATCAATTCTTTCTTAATTAACACTAAAATGTGAACACCTGGCTCTTAGGATTTGATGGGTCAGTTAAAGTGATGCTTAATAGCAAGGTTAAACACTACATTACTTTGTTGGAAAAAGATTAAGACGCACAGCTTTCTGCTAGACTTTATATTTATATTAAAATAGTAATGCTTTAGCACTGTATTAACTATTTCATCAAGCGGTCAGATAAATGTAAAGAACCTGAGTCTTTGCCAAAAAAAACCCAACTAAGCTTAATCCAAAAAATAACTGTTTCCTACTACCTATCCTCAACACATTACTGTTTGATTTCAGAGTACTGACGCAGAGCTCAGGGCTCAAGTTCTGAGGATATCTAAAATCAACCTAGTAATGGATTCTGCACAAAACAGAATGATGTCTCGTGTTTACTGGAGGTTGTGAATCTGTTTTGGAATTATTTTAGTTTCTCTCATACAGTACAATACCACTGAACAACAATGAGACCTGCCCCTGTATAGTAAAGGAAACAGCTTCCTCACAAACAAGTTTGTATTCTACTGAATAATAATAATAAATAATAAGAATAAGAATAATTTAAAAAACAGCATAGTTCATTGCAGGCAAGCAATTTCCCCACAAAGTTCAGTCAAAGTTAAATGACACCAAGTGCTAAATAATATTCTTTTAAATAAAAGAAAAAATAAAAGAGAACCTTCATCTGAATGCAATGGCACTGAAGGAGCTGGAGAAATATGTCACATACTGTACTGACTGAAAACTGCAATCCTTAATAATACTGTATGTTTGGGAGTCTGACTGCTGCTGCCAGTACCTTCGGAGAATGAACAGGTTTTCCTTTGATATGCTGACGTCAAACATCACGCTGACGCTGCAAGATCTGGGATTATTCCCTTTTTCACACACCCTTCCATCCAATGTTGCATTGATGGAAATGTGCCTTCTTTCCTTGCTGCACTCCATGGTGCGTGCTTCTGTTTTTCCATTTTACGGATCTGAAAAGATCATTTTAAAGCCCCTTCGTCAAGTCCAAATAATGTTCCTCTGCAGTGGGGAATGGACCAGAGTGGAGGTTCATGTCACTCTGTAATTCGGTGGAGTAGTTCACCGGTGGCTGATTGAATGTAAGCCAATACAATGTGGGCGATGGCATCGGAGGTCAGTGACTAGGGGTCGCCAAAAGGTGGTGCACATGTGACTTTGAAGTGCCCGAGACAGACTGGCTGAGTCAGCCACAGTGCCTGAGAGCCAGCCCAGCCCATTCACTGAGAACTCTGCTGTAGGCCGCAACCTGCCTGGGGCTCAGGGGGGCAAAGAGGAAAATGTCTTGACAGAACACACTTCACAAGGTGCGGGCACACTGCCCTCGCACTTCCCAGGAAAGGGGCGAGATGCTGTGCAGCTGGGAGGCGATTTCCTTGGCACTGAGCAATTCCGAGCTGGAAAGGCTGAAGAAGAGAGAAACTCCTGCGCGCGCCGCAGTTTCCAAACCTCCCACTGTATTGCAGAACTCATAAAAGGATGATGTTTTGGAAACAGATCTTCATCAGAGTGCCAAAATCACAAACTGTCTATTCCTCCCCACCATCAAATGTGTTGCTAATGAAGCCCTAAACAATACTATTATAAAACGCTTAAACAAATACAAAAAAAAAACATTTCTCATTCACAACCCTACTGAACCCGCTCTTATTAATGTATTGAAATGCTGCACACCTGGGCTTCTTTTGATTCTGCTTTATTCTTTTAGTCTCTTTTTCAATGAAAGTTCAATGTGTGGTGGTCAGTGCTGTGTCAGAAACGGCTCACTACCTATTACTGACAGGTTTTGATCCAATGTATGTCTGAGAACGCTACTATGCCTGCAGAAATTCAACAGCATTAATTTAAGAAATAAATACAAAAGAATCCTCTTGACACTACAAGGCAAAACTTCCCAAACAATAAAATATTCTTTATCACAATAAACATGCGAGATGTTAGGGTGTAGCTCACTACATTATGCTTTTTTTTAAAGAACGTGTCAACACAATTTGCAGCAGAACCACTTGATTTTTAGAAATGAGCAAAACTTTTAGCGAGACAAAGTCTCGCAAAGCTCTGTCAAACAAATAATCTGTTGTTGGTATGAAGGATTAATGTGTGTAATGTTGGTTTAGTTATGATATCTCCATTTTCCTTCCTGTTTATAGGGGATTTTTTTCCCCCAAGCAGAACACTTGGAGCCTTTGTCTTCTTATGAATCCTTTGTGGACATACAGTAAAATTCAAAGACCACGATGACTCTTTTGTTTAACTGTGTATTTACTTCTTACAATGATTCTTAGGATAAAGGAATGAGTCAAGGAACATGAGAGACACACCTTCATTTCAAACACAGTGACTCTCAAAGTCCCCTCTCCTCAATGTGCTGATGCTGGTAATATGATGCAATCACAGCAAGCAAAACAGAAAATAAGCAGCTCTGTGAGTTAGCAGGGAAATAAACCCCTTGGGGGTTTATGTAGACAAGACAATTAAAAAAAAAGCGCCTCTTCATTAGTTTTAGACACTTACGCCTTATGAGTTATGTATCGGAATGCAGGGTTTTAATTTCACGCTTTCCAGCGTCAGCACAGGGTGTGACAGTCTGGAAATCTGCACGCTTGGGAGAAAAGCAGAAAATCGGGCCGCAGACCCTCATCAGAAAGAAAAGGTGAGGTATGTATTCTTCACTGCTCACCTGTTTCAGTCTGCTGCTTCCCATGTTCTGACTAGGATCCAGAGCATGCGAGGCGATTTCCTGAGCTATGTTCGTTAAAAGCAGTCTATTGCACGGCTTTGATCTCGTGGCTTGTGACCCATACCCCAGCACTGGGGAGCTGCAAAGCCACAGTCAGGATCTTAGGCTGCGAGAAGTTTTCATTTGGTGTTTCTCCTTGGGGCACAGCTCCATAGCTGCTGCTGGTGGCCTATTCAGTTCAACAGTACACAACCTGGTTTTAACAGGTCGCCTGAAAATCATGCTGAGGTAGGTTGGTGCTCCATCAGAATTGTGAAATTATTAAATCCATGCACTGTTATACGTTTTACACAAATGAACTGCAGCAGTGTGGGAAATGGATTAGGTCTGTGATTTTAAACATGCATTCACATTGTGCTCCAATGCAGATTTGTTCTGATTTAATATCTCTCAGATTACTTAATTTTAAATTGTAGAATTATGTTGATTAAAAAAGCATTTTCACACCTACTTTGCCCTCAGCTTAACTAGTTTCTTCAATCGCTTTCTGAAAACTTTCAACAACGTTTCGGCTGACAGAGCTCCACTAATGTGCTTTTTTTTTTTTAAACACAAACACACAGCACGCTGCCCTGCTGAGTGCATAACTTATCATTATCTCTAACTGTGCTGTTGGCCTTCTCAGTTTATCTGGGTACATGTCAAGACAGATGCATAACATCGGGGAAAAAAAGCCTCATAATTAGCAGTGACTTGCAAAAATGCATCACACTGGCAGATTGTTTTATGAGACATGTAGGAAATTAAAAATACAGCACTAGCCAATATTTTGCATTCTATTGCTCATGATTCACATGCTTTTAGACCTGTATATTCTAGCTTCTAAATGTTGATTGTGTAGTGAATGTGGTATTTGTCTCTGTCGAGGGCCAGTGCACTGCACAGCATCAGAAAAAACGATTTCACACGAGAAATTTCCTGAGCTACAGTGGAGGCGTCTTGAGACCTTTAGAAGCCATGGCTCCAGTCAGCCAACAGGCAGTGCATTGTGGTTCAGGCGGCGACTGGTACTGTCAAAGGTAGACTTCA